AATAAAGAAAATCTCTTCATTTTTGCAGTTTTTGAGCATGATCAAAAAAGCTTGAAAACGTCACAGAAAAGGCGAAAAAGTCATGGGCATAGGTTTTGTGACCTTCCCTTTCTAGCTGGGCGAAAATCGTGCCAATCGGGAGCAATTTTTATTTTCGTTAAAAACGCAGGCCCGAAAATCGGAAAAAATCACGAAAAACAAAATTGCTCTCCCTTAGCACAAAAATCCCTTAGCTAGAAAGGGAAGGTCACAAAACCCATGTTTAGGGCTTTCCCGCATTTTCTGTGACATTTCTAGGCTTTTTTGAACATGCACAAAAATTGCAAAACTAAAGGAATTCTCTTTATTTGCTCCTAACTCTCGATTTTTTTCGTCTTAGCTCATGGGAAAGACACCATTGTAATGAGCATAATTTTCTCTATCATATAAAAATACTTCCAGAATTTTTCGTGACCCAGCTCGAAAAATGCCAATTTTGACTGATTTCCTTCAATAGCTTGTAACTCTCGAAGTTTCCAATATCAGTTCATGGCAGAGGTACTGTTATAAAGAGAATGGATTCCCTTTTCGAAGGTATATAATTTTAACAAAATCCATCGAGTGGCAAGGAAGTTATGATTTTTTGAAAATGACGCGCAAGAACTTTCGGACCAACCTAATATTATATATATTAGGTTGAACCGAAAGTTCTGTCCCTCCATCTTCAAAAAATCATAACTTCTTTCCGTCACGATGATTTCGCGCATTTCAAATTTTATTAGAAAGAGTAAAGCATGTAGTTTCCAAAAGTCCCCTGGAGACTTTCCAACATGCTCAGGTTGCAGAGATAAAAATGAAAGAACGAGATCATCCGAAATTCGGAATTTTTAAGCAAGAATTCTAAAAATTCAGAAACTGTGCGATAAAATCCAGAAAAGCCATTATCCTAATTTATCTTACATTTGATTACTGACTGAGTCAAGTTTGTGCTGATCGAGGTCTTCTTTTAGCAGTTATGAATTTTTGAAAAAAAATGCCAAAAAATCCATTTCTTAAGAATTCTTAGGAAATTGATTTTTTGGCATTATTTTTCAAAAAATCATAACTTTTGAAAGAAGAGCTCGATTAACACAAACTTGACTCAGATAGTAAACAAATATAAGAAAAATTAGGGTAGTTGTTTTTCTGGATTTTATCGCACTGTTTCTGAATTTGTAGAATTCTTGCTTAAAAATTCCGAATTTCGGATGATCTCGTTCTTTCATTTTTATCTCTGCTACCTGAGCATGTCGAAAACTACCCAGGGAGCTTTTGGAAACTACAAGCTTCACGCTTTTTGATAAAATTTGAACTGCGCAAAATCATTGTGAGGGAAAGAAGTTATGATTTTTTGAAAATGGTGCGACAGAACTTTTGGTTCAACCTAATATAATATATTAGGTTGGTCCGAAAGTTCTTGCGCATCATTTTCAAAAAATCGTAACATCCTTGCCACTCAATGCATTTTGTTGAAATTATATCTGTTCGAAAGAGGAATCCATGCTCTTTACAGCGGCTGCTCAGCCATGAATTACTTTGAGAAATTTCGACAGTTACAAGCAGTTGAATGAAATCAGTCAAGTTTGGCATTTTTCGAGCTGGATCACAAAAAATTCTGGAAGTATTTTTATTTGATAGAGAAAATTTTGCGCATTACAGTGGTACCTTTTCCACGAATTAAAACGAAAGAGATCGAGAGTTAGGAGCAAATAAAGAGAATTGTTTCAGTTTTGCAATTTTTGAGCACGCTTAAAAAAGCCTAGAAGCGTCACAGAAAAGACGGAAAGTCATGAACATTGGTTTTGTGACCTTCCCTTTCTAGCTGAGTGAAAATCCTGCTAATCGAGGGCCATTTTGATTTTCGTGAAAAACGCAGGCCTGAAAATCCGAAAAAATCACAAAAAACAAAATTGCTCTCGATTGACACGATTCTTGCTCAGCTAGAAAGAAAAGGTTGCAAAACCCATGTTTATGACTTTTCCGCCTTTTCTGTGACGTTTCTAGGCTTTCTTGAGCATGCTCAAAAATTGCAAAACTGAAGCAATTCTTTTTGTTTGCTCCTAACTCTCGATCTTTTTCGTTTTAATTCGTGGGAAAGGTACCACCGTAATGCGCAAAATTTTCTCTATCAAATAAAAATACCTCCAAAATTTTCTGTGATCCAGCTCGAAAATTGCCAATCTTGATTGATTTCATTCAACTGCTTGTAACTCTCGAAGTTTCTCATAGTAATTCATGGCTGAGCAAATGCTGTAAAGAGCATGGATTCCTCTTTCGAATAGATGTAATTTCAGCAAAATCCATTGAGTGGCAAGGAAGTTATGATTTTTTGAAAATGATGCGCAAGAACTTTCGGACCAACCTAATATAAACGCGCACACACCGACACACAAACACACTCACCGACACACACATACATCAACAATACCACCGACACATAAGCACACACTTCAACACACACATACACAAACACACACCGACACACCGACACACACCAACACACATACACACATACATCAACAATACACATACATCAACACACAGGTACACAAGCACAAACACACATACATACATCAACACACACACATACATCAACACACACAAACATACAAACACACATACATCAACAACACGCATACACACATAAATCAACAATACACACATACACACATACACATACACAAACATACACACAAACACACACACCGACACACAGGCACACACACCAACACACACATACATCAACACACACGC